CAGGGCTTCATTCTAAGTCTTTCTTGCTTCCTTAGTGTTCTTTCCATGACTCCTTTGCCAAACTTCCAGCCAATTGTGCTTCCAACCCTTTCCTGTATATCCCTTTCCTCTTTTCAAGGGGTCCACCCCATGCCCCTCTCCTGTCCCCACTGCCACCCCTCAGATTGCAACTGTGCTGCATGGGTTTCTAACTCACTCGCTATTCTAGTGGGAATAACAGAAGAGTTGAGTTCCCTTCCTTCTAACCCCTGTGACATCCCCCATTCCCACCCCTCACTGGAGGCATTAGACTAAAATAGGGGCTTCTGGTGCCCAAAAGAGAATGGGCCATCAACTTGGTCACTGTGGGGCAGGGAAGAGGAGGGATGGATCTCATTTAGGAACCTATGCCTTCCCTGGTACTGGGCTCAGCCTTTCCTTGGCCTGCATGTGCACTGATCCTGGGACAGCGCCAATAACAGGTGCAGCAACCCTGAAGGCAGGAACAAACCCTACTAGCTAGGCACTGAGACTGCTCACTTTTCCCTTGGTGATGTGACCACCCCTTCCCTCTGGCCTCCATCTCCTGAGAACCCATTTGGTTATCAATGTAGCTCATAGAACCAAGCACAGGGCGCCTGCTTAGAGTACTAAGTACTTAGAGTCTTAAGTACTAAGAGCTGCTGCACTTAGAGTACAGTGACGGGAAGGGAAGGAATGAGGAGGCTGAGACCCAGTTTTCTGGCCTCTTATTCTCTAAGGTTTATCCCTGAACAGTGGTGCAAAGGGAAAGTCCACACCAGATCATCTCCAGGGACTTTATCCTGTGCACCTCTGATTAAAGCCTTCAGGGTGAAACCATCTGCACCAGCAGCCATGCTAATGAGTCCTGATGTGTTGGGTTAGCAGTTCACATGCACTCTGGGAGAGGAAGATCTGCCAAGTGGTAGGCCCAGGGAACAACACAGTGAGCAGGGCATCATCGGCCCCACAATGAGCAAAAGCTCAGCATTCAGGGATTGTGAGAAATTTCCACTAAAGGGACTTGATTGTCACAGTGGGCCTGAAAAGGTTAAAATGAGGCTGGGCATACCTGACCAGCATACACATGAGACGGCTGGCAGTATGCAGCCCCACCAGCCACAGAGCAGGACGCCTGTGCTGAACACATCTCATGGGCGGGCATGATACTGCCACCAGGATGGATCAGGAAGGGAATCTGTATGACAGAAGGTGGAAGCCAGAAGACACAGAAAAAGAGGAAAACATGCTGTTGGCTCCTTCACTCCATTTAACTTCCCTGGTCCTATTACATAAATGCACAGCCCCCACTGTCTGGCACCATGGCTCTCCTAGTCCCATCTTCCCCAAGGCATCTTTCAGTGCAGGTTATTATGGGATGGTAACAGCTTATATCTGTAAAGAGCTTTACAGTTAGTAAAGTCCCTGCCCCAACCAGGTAATGTGATCATTGCCATCCCACATGGCAGTAGATATCAATTCAGAAATATCCAGATCAGGGGAGTTATATACAAATTGCCTTGGGAATTATAAAATGCAGATTTCCTAGCTATTCCTCCCTTGTGTCAGCCCCAACTTCAGATTATGATGCAACAGGCCAGAGTTAGGGCCCAGGGAGGTCTAGTTTTAATAAGAACATTTGCTGTGATTCTGGAAAGGGGTTCTCCAGGACATTGGGAAACACTGGCTAGATGGTTTTCCCAAAGTTACCCTGCCAGACTTGACCATGAATCCCATGCTCCTTAAACCATACAACATTAAGCAAGGTCCGTCCTTATTTTGGGGTGTGTTTGATGGAGTGGGTGGGAGGCAGTGGCCTAAGCTCCTGGTCCTTGGTGTGGCCTACAGCATGTCTCTTCAACTCTCTGGATTGCAACCTCTCTAAGAAACACATCGTATTATTTTGATGCTATACACCACATGTGAACATACATTTCACCGAAATATAAGTTTCACCCTGATAGTCTATTTCATTGTTTTTCTCAGTCGCTGATGACACCCTACTAAATAGATTCCATCTCCTACTAATGTACTTATAGAACACTGGCCTAGATGACCAGGAAAGTTCCTTCCAACCTGAAGGGTTTCTTTTTTCTTTTTCTTTTTATTTTTTTTGGTACCAGAGATTGAACCTAGGGGTGCTTAACCACTGAACTACATCCCCAGCCGTTTTTATTTTTCATTTTGAGACAGGGTCTTGCTAATTTGCTTAGGGCCTTGTCAAGTTGCTGAGGCTCGCTTTGAACTCTTGATTCTCCTGCTTCAGCCTCCCCAGCTGCTGGGATTACAGACATGAGCATGTGCCGGGCTACCTGAAGGGTTTCTATTGCTGAGCTTCAACACCCTCTTAGAGCTTTTCCTTTGTGTCAATACCAGGTAGTTCTCATTCTTTCCTGAGGCTGGGCATACCTGACCAGCATACACATACCTTTCAGAGCAACCTGGTTGCAGCCAGGAATGGGTATAGCCCTTTCAGCATATTGATGAGCAGAGCAGAGGGTACCTGAGGCTCTGGTTTCAAACTGCCCAGTGCATTATCTAGATAGGATATGAACCCTAGAGTTCATAGGCCTATGAACCCTAGAGTAAGTTGCAACAAGCCCCATGGGCAGGCTGAGAGGAGAGGGATGGAACTTGTAGGGGAGGGAATAGGAGAGGCTTTGTGTCTACAATTAAAGATCCAGTACCTGCAGAGAAGCACCACTAGATGGTGGTGTTTACCTCTTATAAATCGCCCAGACCTCTAAGATGCAGGAGGGAGCGGATAGAGGATCAGTGGCCAATTTCTTTGGAGCACAAACCTGATAGTTAACCATGTGTAAGCTTTAAAGCCAGCCAAGAAAATAATTATGGTTAAAGTACAGGATAAATGTCCTGGTGCAGCTCACTTCACCTTTTGGCTTGGTCAAAAAGATTTACTAAGGCAGGTCTTCACCCCATGGTGCATAGGGAATTCCAGAGGGGCAGCCAAGGGTCAGGGTATGAGAAATGGTGAGATGGTGTCAGGCTGGGCTGGCCCTGAAACAGACCCTCCTCATCTTCTGCCCAGAGTAACAAGGAGGCTTTAGGGTGCCCAGGGGATCCTGGGCTCACACTTGAAAAGCCCTGCTCAGGAATCCAGGACTGGAATCCTATGGGAAAGTTTCAAGAGGCTGACCAGCAGGGTAGAGGTCAAGAGTAGGGAGGTCAAATGCTCTTGGCACACTTATGAGACTTTCACTAGCAGTCCTTAAACGTGATTTATCTGTGTTTTGTGTTTTAGGTCTTCTCCTTCATTGTGAACTCACACTTAATGAAAGTTAGTTACACGGAGCAAACCCATCATTAACCAATAAGACCCAATTCCTCACACACACTCAGCCATCATTTCTTAGAATTGCTCATTTTCATTTTTTCTTCCTGATGGCCCTGGTCTTCCGTGTCTTTCAGCAAGTTGCCCTTTCCACAACCCTATAGATGTTATTTTCTTTGCTTCTTTCATGCGTTTCAAAAGGACTAGTGAATGCCTGTCCACTCCCCTGGGCCTCCCCCTCACCACCTTAGTCCCCAATCCATGGCGACGGCACATTCTGAAAGCTCCCCTTAGTGTCCAGCAGTCTCTGGTCCCAGGAGTTTGAATCAATTTTATGTTCATGTTGTTGAAAACAGTGCCAATGGCACCTCTGGTCCTAATTCTTCTCTTCCCCACAGCCTCTTAACCATTACTTCAAGGCTTTTCCTTGGTAAGTGCTTAGATTTTTATTCTCTAGTTCTTGGCATATTTGTTTTCTAATTCTCCCTTTTAGGCCCACAGAAGGTTCCTCACATTTGGTTCATGTTCCAATATTTCCTATTCAGAGAGATGGCCCCTTTGTGTTTCCTGACTTTTCTTCTTGGCAGAGCGTTCCTTCCGAAGTTACCCACAGGGCCTGATGAAATGCACAGCTCACCTCTGGCGGGTTTTTCCCTCTTGAGGTATTAACCACTGGCGCACAGACAGGAGCTGTGAAGCCCTTGCTTCTCCCGACTTCCCTGATGGGTTTGTCTTTTGATCACTTAATCCCTCCTGGGGCAGAACCCTTCCCAGATCAGCCTGCAAGGCCCCCTGGTCCCAACTTACTCTACCTCTCCCCACATCCGGATTTATACACCAACAGTTATTTTAAATTGTCAATTCCTTGGACATCCACATAGTCCAGAGTACACACAGCCTCCTCACTTCCCTGATGTGTCTTTCCTTTCCTTCCCCACCCATTTTTTCCTTATCGAGTTCATCATTTCAAAGAGCCTCTGACCCCCTCTTTGCATGCTTTAGCTACATACTCTTCCTCTGGCTGTCTGTAGTTGTCTGCCCATAAATATTGCATGGGGTGCGACCTCCCTCTGTGACTTGTAGATTTCACCGTGTGTAAAATCTATCTTCCCAGGTAGATTTTATTCACGGGCAACTTGCATACTGTCCCCACTCCTCAATGAGCTGTTATACTCATCCAAAAAAAAAACAAAAACAAAAACAAACAAACAAAAAAAACAACAACAAGCCAGCACTCAGATTTTCATCTTCCTTCAAATATTCTCAAGAGAAAAGAAGTGCTCCTGAGAAGACCCTTTCTATCCACCTCGAAGTAAAATTTCTGGTTTTCTTCTCTTAAATTAGTGAGTTTCTAATTTAAGATCACCAGTGGGTTGCCTTTTTCCTT